ATGGTGCTGTGACGGCCTTTATTAAAAGGCACCAATGATAAAGTGATGCTAAATCAAAATTATGTAAGGAAATTATTGGAAAATCTTTATATTAATTAAATATATTATAATTAAAAATTTTTATGGGAAAAGATCTGTTAGTAAAAATTTTGAAAAATTGGTATTCAGTAAATTGTTTATACTAAACTAACTTACTAAACAATTTGTTTTGTTTTAAATAATATAGCCATTAAAAAATAGTGGTTGATGGTAGAAAGATGAAAAATTTGGGTTATTGTATATTTTTAATACGAATCTTTAAAAAATTAAAATATTTATTTTATACATAAATCAAATAAAAATTCATTGACGGGTCACCCTTATCATTAAGAGGTATGAAAAATAAATGTTAGCCGACAGTCAGACCTACACCGGATATGCACACAAAGTTTTATAAAAATTGGTAGGTAAAGCCCTTAACTGCCGGTAATAGCCGATAACAAACACTAGGACACGAGAGTTTTGTATATTAGATGTTAATACAATATAACAATTGTTAAAAATATACACAATTATGTAAGTGATTGAAAAATATTTGTATTGACTAAAAGTATTAATACTTACTTTTAATTCGTAAAATTTTAAATTAATGCACAAAATATGGTATTTAGTTTAGGATTAACTTGTTACTCAACTCTATCACGAAAACAATCATTACCTTATATTGACATAAGGTTTGTCACGATTTGATTATGGAAAATTTTTAAATCGCTTAGCCATAATATATTAATAGTGGCGTCTAGAGTAATGGTATTCTTCTTAGCACTATAGATAAGTCACGTAAGAACATTAAAACATCTTCAGGTTGAATACAGTACAAGCTTCACTCCAAGCTTGTAATAGATATTCCTGAAATTGAGTTTTTTATATATCTGGAAAACAATATCTTTGTAAAAATTGAAATCTGAAGTCAGCCCAGTCATTTTATAGAATAGAGTAGAAAATCATTTATTCAAATAAACTTATATTGAAGCACTTTTGAATAGTAAAAATCACTTTTTTTTAATCTACTGCGTCATTTTGGAAAGCTGTCTCATCACAAGAAGAACGAGCAAGAAACTTGCATGTTGCTCTTTTAAATAATTTTATATCATATACAGGCTTACTCAAAACTCAAATCTCGCGCAAAGAATCATCAGAATACTTATAATTATCACGTAAAGAACGAAACAATAACTGGTCGATTTTAAATTGTTTAAGATCTATTGTTTTGTTTGACGATTAAATAACTATTATTATTGCTTACCAGGTACTCTGTTCTCCATCAGTATCTTCAGTGACTTCATGAAGTTAGACGATACAGTTGTGGGCATCATATCCTGTACCAGCAAGATCCTCGCTTCATTCATATTCGCGTTCGCAACCACCACATTGGAAATTTATATAGGTACTCATAGATTTTTCATAAATATATAATTTATAAATAACCCTGGACAATTAATCTAGTCCCACGGTAAGCGTGCATTATTTGCTTGTGTTATTGGTTCGAGACCACTGATATAATTTTCTTTTGTAAATATATATATAACTAGCTTTTGCCCGCGGCTTAGCTCGCGTTAAATTATTCCCTTAGGGGTGGAATTTATCCAAATCCTTGCTTAGGGGATGCCTACGTCATAGTAGCTTTATGCATGCAAAGTCTCAGCCCGATCTGTTTAAAATTGACAAAGTTTCATAAAATATCCTATTTTATCCCTTTGGGGGTAGAATTAATCAAAATTCTTTCTTAGCGGATGCCTACGTCATAACATGTACCTGCATGCCAAATTTCAGCCCGATCCGTCCAGTGGTTTCGGATGCGCGTTGTTAGATCACTATGTCAGTCAGTCACCTTTGAGTTATATATATGTATTTAGATAGAGATGCATACCAGACTGATAATACAAACAATCATAATCATGAATACAAATATTTGTACATGCGAGGAATCGAACCCGCAGTCATCGATAGTAAAACGGTGTGCTACACCACTAGATCACTCTAGCCGTGGGAAATTTTATTTGTAGATTAGGTAAAATTTATGAAATAAACGTTATTGTAGTAGAAAATGTCATTGTACAGATATTATCGATCGTCAAGAACTTCAGTAGGCGTTGATAGCAGTTTGAATCGACCGTGTATAATTATTTTTATTTGTTTTAGCTCCTCTTGTGGAGATCTTTAATGGCACCTCGTTCATAGCGATGAGGTCTATCGCTTCAAAACTGGTGACTAGTGAAGAATTGGGTAAGACATAATTTTTGGTATAGTATTAGAATTTTGTAAAAAAAAGTCTTAGTATGGGCATATAATGCTTAGGGGTTTGTAGAGATTTTTAAAGAAAGTGTTATATATAATTGTAGACAATTAGAAGAGCCAAGGAAGGATGAAAAAAAGATGGACTCTGTGAAAAGTGATATGGAAACTGAGATGAATGGAAGAGAAAAACATTACAGCGTCCATACTAGGGATAAAGAAAAGCAGATGATAAATAAAATTTTGTTGAGATATTTGATATACTATCTGCTATTACTCAGTCACGCCTTAAAGAAAAATAGATTATAATTTATAATTGAATGGTTAATGGTTGGTTAATACTCTATGGTTCTGTTGGTGAGGCTTACTATATTGTAATAATGTTAGATATAAATATGTGGAAGTAGAGTTTTATAAAATGGTAACATTTTATATTAAATGTATTTCACCCTACATGTTATTAGATATTCTCAAGTATTATATAAATCTACCATTCTCAGTTCAATAGTAGATTTTTACAATAATTCAGTAGAATAGAACCCTCGGTCTCAACTTTTGAAATACATACTAAACCATTGTGGCAGTTACGAGCATTATTTGTGCCTCGGCGACAGAATTTCATTCATGAGCGCTATTAATTTTCCTCGTGAAATTAAATTTTCCCTAAATTAATATTATCTATTTTGATTGGCTTGTCATTCTCGAAAACTTCCTTCCTGAAACAAGTACTTTCGTGGAATCGCAATCGAAAACTCGTGTAAACTTACATACCCATCATGCTTATATATATATATATCTATATATATGTATATAATTTATATGTACATATACATCTATATAAAGATCTTCTCATTAAGATTAAAAACAACATAGATATGAAGATGTTATGCCGAGAGTTTTGTTTGTTTGTTTATCTATTTACAATGTTATTATTTCATATTGCATATTGATTAATAGTATCTCATTAGTAAAGATATTAAAAATACTTTATTGCCTGTATGCTATTACGTCGACGTGTGTGTATGTGTGTTAATTGATTTATAAAACCGTTTTCTATGGGGTAGGCAGAGATAATCCACTGGCATTATTTTTTATCTCTTCGTTTATTACTAATAATTCTGATAATATATATGTATAAACCTTTGAATCTAATCATAAATAACATTATGCACCAGTTCTAGGCGGCGAGATAAGAATGCGCTAATATTTACTATTTTTTTTTTCGGACTACTCTAATGCTGTTGGCCGCAGCTGGCCTTTACAGCTTCACCGGACGAGTTACTTCTATAATGAAGATAGACCTGTACCTATCTGTGGAATAATAAAGATTTGTTATGATGATGAGGAAGTAAATCGTATTGAGTTAGACTTTGTAGAATGTCGTCTGCGTACGCCTTTATCTGACCTATTTGAATTGCTATTAGTGTGAGATAAGGCAGGGAAATTACGGGGTACGGAGGCATGACACCTTAGTCCTCCAGAATGGCAATGCATAAGTGGTACGGATATTAATTACATCATGGCGTGATATCTTTGCCGCTGTTCATATATATAGGCATAGGAGCTGTCAGCTTGTATGCCATTCCAGGCATTCCAGGCGTTCGTACTATGAGCTCAATCGATAGTCAGCGCTGGAAACTATGTTTTAAGCATTATGTTGCGTTATGGTACATTGGCTCTGTTTTGTAATGTGTGTAAATTATCAGTTTTTTTATGGCATTATTGTTGTGTACGAAGTATAAATTGTACCTATTCTCTTTTATTTTATGATGTCGAATCGTGATTATTCAATATTGTACGATATATCATGTACACACAGAGTGCTATTTGCGGTTTTGTGAAAACATTGTCAAATGGTTGAGAGTGTCAATTGTATATATATTTGTTTTGTCAATAATTACATGGTTTTATAAATATATGGGTTTTTCTATAAGGAAACTTGGTACATATACTAAAGCACAAAACATTTCAACTGACTTAAAAAATGAATACACTTGTCTTCATTTTTGAAGTCAGTTGAAATATTTAATAAATATCTCCGGAAAACTTATACCTTAAATTATAAATATCAATAATTAGGTATGTTCTGAGCAATTTTTCAAATACACTCCTTACATTAATAATAATGCTACTATAAATGTGCGTACAAAAATCTCTTAACGAATTAATTTTTTTTTTATAAAATCATCTCTCTTTTGCAGGTAAAGTAAACTCCCTATTCGGCTTAGCTGAGGCGATGATGCCATTAGTGTATGGGCCGTTATACTCAAGAGTATACATGGCAACACTGAATATGCTGCCAGGCGCAGTGTTTTTGTTAGGTGCGGCTATGACGGTACCAGCCGTTGCAATATTTGGGTAAGTATTTATTTATAGGTCAATTATTTATATTTTTTTATTACACAAATGTGATTATAGAAAAAGAGAGAGACGTGGCCTAGTGGTTTACTGAATTACGCCTAAAAGTTCCAAACTGGCCGATACAAAAAACATGTGTTTGTCAATTTACATTTAGTACTAATTCATCAGTGTTGCAAACACCGTTATCAAACCAAAAAATAATCAGAGAGACGGCGGCAGGCTCCGGCTCTGATATGTTGAATACAAAAGATACCCAATGAAATGTGATACCTAAGTCATATGCGTTCACCATGACTTCGATACTTAACAATGTCTTTGCCTACCCCATCTAGAATAAAAGTCGCTTCTGTATGTTTTATTTTTCTTTATTATATGAATGAGTAAACAATTTGCTTTGAACATTCCACAGTTCGAGTCTTGATTTAATGCATTCCAAAAATGAGTACTAAGTTATTTCCTTGTTATAGGTGGATGTATTTCGAGCAGAGAGAAGACAACAAACAGACAGACGAAACTGAGAATACCAGCAAAGAAGTGTAACTCTGTTATATAGTACCTACGAACATTTAATTGTAATGGAAAGTGTCAGTGAACGATGCGTTATACGTGTGAAATGTCTAATAAAAGTTGTCTAATGTATGTATTTTGAATTTGCAATCGTAAAGTGATCATCATTCGTTTATAAACATTCACATGTCGTTCAATGCGATGATCTGACATCATTGGCTTAAGATGTTTGACTTTAATAGCGTTTGTTTTTCTGAGTGTTTGTATACGCATTAAACAATGATATGCCAACGTAAAGCCCTGTTCACACGACAGTAGTTTATAGTAACGATTTATATAGGCTATTTATTGAGCTACTATACGTACTATAGGATACCTGTGTAGATCGTTTGTTCTTCGCAGAATAAATAGACAGGTACATGTTATTGGGGACAGGTACATATTAAAAGAGTAGATTTTTTTTTATAGGTAGTGTAATTAATTAGCATTTTAAAAGATCATACTCTCATATATAACATTATTTGAGTTGAAATTTGCACATTTCAATTTTGATTTAAATACAAATGTAATAATTATGTTACATTTGATAATTAGCTCTCACTTTGATTTACACGCTACGATAAAACTGTAAAAACGATATGGACAACGATTTTTTGTCTTGCTTTAATTGTTTGCACTTATGAAAAAATCTACTTAATATTAATAATAATAACTCTGGACACTTAACATAGCATCATCATCACTCTCTATTCAAGAATACAATTGTTTGCTTCGTGCGAGGAAATACACCATCACGAAATCAGAATCGATACCTAAATCTGAAGTAAAGCTGTATGCTGAACATATCATCTAAGTCCAAGCACCTATTTTCGTCCATATATTCGATAAAACAGCATAAATGAACTGCCTTGACAAAAGGCTACGATGAATCGTTATCGTGTGGACTAGGTTTAAGTTTATTTGCTTAGATAGTGAACAATAGTTTGGAAGACTCCCGCTCGTGACGGAGACGATCACAGTAATTCAATATTCAACATGTTATCGATTTATTTGTCTTTGTACAGTCTTGATGTGCACTTCACTTTAATACAGTCATAACAACAATGTATATACATATTAATATATCAAATTGTAACGCCCTATGAACTAAATAATTGCTTTACTTGTACTACAATCATGCAATAACATATTGAAGTTTAAATAGTAAAGTAAAACTATTAAAAATGGAAAAAACGGAAAAAGTAGAACTGGGAATTCAAGGCGACACGACCGAAGTTTTGCCGTTAAAATCGGAAACCAATATTGCGGTCCAAAACATGAGCCTTATTGAAAAAATAAGGTATGTGAAGTCGAATATTACCGTTGAGCCGGTGTTAGCTTTATTCGTGATGCCCAGTGTGCTAGCAATGTTGGCCACACAGAATTTGAATTTGGATAAGGCTTGCCGAGTGAATTTGGGATTTAGTGATGGCGTATGCGAACATTTGAGGCTGAGGAAGCGTGCAAACCATAGTTTTGAAGAGGACGAAGTGCAGAAATTGATCGCTTCTGTACAGGCATGGAAAGGCGCGATTCAAACCATAATACCAACTATATTAATACTGTTTATAGGCGCATGGAGTGACAAAACGGGGAAACGAAAAATTTGTATGCTAATGCCAATCTTTGGGGAATTCATGACGTGTCTATTGAATATGGTGAACACGTATTTTTTCTATCAGATCCCTGTAGAATTGACGGTGGTTATGGAAGTGATATTTCCAGCGTTGACGGGTGGATGGTACACTATGATTCTAGGCGCATTCAGTTATCTAGCTGATGTGACCTCGAGAGAAACAAGGACCTTTCGTATTGGTATTCTAAACTTGTGCATGACTGTAGGATTTCCTGTTGGTATGGGCTTGAGTGGGGTACTCTTGAAACGCTTCGGATTTTATGGCGTGTTTACCATATCTGCCACATTGCAGTTTTTAAATTTTTGTTACGTTATGTTTGCTATAAAAGATCACACTTGGCTGGAAAATAAAGAAAAGGTTCGTATTATTATAAGCTACTTATTTATTATTCTTATATACAGGATCTAATATACATTTTTTTCTAATTTAAAATATCGACAAGATTGATAAACAAACAGACGGACACACTGTCACATTTCCAATTTACAGTTGAAAATTGACATACAAAGATTTTTTAGTGATAAATTTGGCTAATAAACGGCCACAATGCTCTCAAATCATTAAAGAAATTGAGCGTTATATTTGTTGAAACTTATACTTCATTACTATTTTTATAAAAAAAAACAACATATCAAAACACTGTATGTTTTTATTAAGAATTGGATCTTATAAATAGATATTCATTGTTTTTAAAGGTGAAACGAAAAGGATGTACAGGTTTTCTGCTAGATTTTTTTGATGTAAATAGCTTAAAAGAAACATTGGAAATAGCTTTCAAGAAAGACACGAATAATAGAAGAACAAGAATATGCCTTATTTTGACTGTCGTTTGTTTGACATTTGGCCCGATGTGGGGTAAGTACTGATTTTCTTTACATATGCCATTAGATTGGCATAATAGCGCAAACCTTAGAAAATGCAATGTATGAAAGATGCAATTGGCGTCTCACGTGATGTTCATGTAATATTAATGATATTAATTTAACGCAAAAAACTCTACATCTACATGTGATCTCAGTTTCTGGGGAAAATAATAAAATTAAATGAAATGAATATAATAAAATTTTGTTGCTATTGAAAAGATAGAAGAAGAATGTAATAAAACACAATCACATATTTGCATGTGTACACAATTTTGTTAAAGAAAACAAAAAAGATATGAATTTGTTAAACTACATACAATATCTGCTAAACTAATTAATACAAACAGAATAACCTTAGAAACCTTGTTTCTGAAAGTGTAACTTTTACTCTTACGTTTAGCGCTGATAATATTATATAAACAATCAGTTCCTTAAAAAAATACTACTAACGAAAGTTGCTTATTAAACAAATTAGAGGTTATATATAATTTGAGTAACAGTGAAAACAAAAAGAAATGATAAAATCATGTCGCATTGGCTTGAAAATATTTATACTTTTGTTGTGTTGGCCGTCTTATTTGATAAAAAAATCGTACTTCCAATAATTTAATAAGAAAAAATACCTAAGTTTTTCTTACCCTATTTGATAAAACGAAGCACTTCAATACATATAAGAAAAACACTAACAGAATATATTTTCTCCGAAGTATTTCTAATTTCTTTTGACGTACTCCAATCTCTTTTTGTACCTTGAAAGAATTCTATGTAATACATAATGTATCGTAGTAATTCATTACTTAATATTAACAAGTTGTCGCCTGGTGGTCGAAATTCGACGATAATTAATTTAACATTAATTAAGACCATAGACAAATAATATTAAAGACAATATTAATCTATTCTCAATTTGACCACAGACTTTAACAATAAACAAAAGAGTATATAATAATATGTTAGTCAAATACATGGTAGTGTGGGTAATATTTTTTTATTTATCTAATGTACTTTTATGTATAATTCACTCCTTCTTTATCTTTATAAGTAAAACTGGAGTGTCTGTTTGTAATATTAAAATAAAATTTTTTTACTACATGCATATGTATATAAATACGTTACATACACCAAAATAACAAATAAATTTTTGTCTGTCTGTCTGTTTGTTCCGGCTAATGTCTGAAATGGCTGGACCGATTTTAACGGGACTACTTTTTGGCAGGTAGCTGATGTAATAAGGAGTAATATAGACTACTTTTATTTTAGAAAATAAAGTTAAATAACGCGGACTAAGTCGCGGGAACAGCTAGTATAAACTATAAGTGTGAGAAATTTCATACTTCTCCGTCCGCGCAATTTTTGTAAAAAGGTTTTAATATTAACTTAGCTACATAAAGGTAACAGTAAATTAATTCGTTAGTAACATTTCACAACCCAAGTTCGGTTATCTGTATATAATATCTCTGATTAGTCCTTTACGTCGCATTTTGTAAGTTTCAGTCGCCTGAAGTGTAAACAGGACACTTTTTTAATGTTTTAAATTTATTCTAATATTTTCGTAGTGTTAGGGAAAATACTCTCTGCTACCAAAATGTTAGGGAAAGTACTATGTATATATATAGGGAAGCGTCTGTCACATACCTGTATGGTTCTGCGGGTTTCTTGGGCTTCAGGGTCTCGAAGGTATCTTCGCTAGCTTTCCAGTTTCACAGTAGGTTTAACACAGTTCTAATTTATTTTAATTCACAACACAATGCGCGCGCGCGTCAAGGCCGCTGTACGGTCAGTTCAGTACTAGGTAAGGGAAGGGAGGCAAAGGCGCGGGAACAGAAAACTAACGGACTCTAATATAATAATCTGTGCTTACGATGATACAGGGTAGATTTTGAACACGTAGGTATATTAAAAATGTAGTGTTTTTTATTAAAGTTTATACATACATATCTAAATAGCTATTAACCTTAATTTTATCAGTGTGGTTGTGCTTTATAATCTGTATTTATTATGAATGTATCTTTTATATCCATATAGCTGTTATTGTATACTAACATATTATAGAAAATTGTAAATTGTAACAGGTGAGCTCGGTGTTACATATATATTCTCGCGGTATCGTTTCAATTGGGACGAGGTAAAGTACAGCATATTTTCCACCTACAGTCTCATCACACATGCCATTGGTAAGTAATGCAAATATTTATATTGTTAACTTTATCTTTACAAAAATTTTAGAAAGAAAACTGTGTTTGCTTATATGTTAAGGCAAAACGATAGGACAAAATTTACATGGAATTTATTGTTGAATAATATAATAATAATTATTATATTCTTGGACAATTCACACAGCGCCATCTGGTCCCAACACGCAGAGCGTTACAAACTATTATACTCTCGAATACAAATGTTTGTACTGTGCGAGGAATCGAACCCGAAACCATTGGAAATAAATCGGTGTGCTAAACCAATAGACCACCAAGACCGTCAAATATGCGGTCGTAAGAAGAAT